GATCCAGAAGAAGTACAACCATCTGGATACAATCACGAAGCGAACAGCTACAAACAAGACGAGCAAGACAGCAATAAATTCAAATTCAAACAGAACAGTGAAATTCAAGAGCACAACAATGAGCTCCCAAAGGATGAGTTAAAGAGAACAGAAAACAAAAATCAGGTAAACATCACAAAAGAAACTCTCTGGAACCACAGAGGAAACGCTTTTCAAGAGGATGGCCTTGCGAAGCGTGTTGCAAAGCTTGATGTTACAGTCAATGGTGGCAACTCCTGCGCTGGAGCACACCCCAGTCTCAATCCCAGCATAAGCCCAATGAAGGAAGCCAGCGAACAGGGAACCTCCAGCCTGTCGGCAGAGTCGTCTTCAGCCAGCACCAGAGACTTCCACACCAAACCAAATGAGTCTGGTCAAAAATTTGACCTAGAAGCAGACAGTCACAGTAAGTCAGCCTATAAAAAGCCAGATAATATTCAAGATGGGAACTTCCACTCGGCAGAAGAAAATCTCTCTCTCATAGGAAGCGCCATACTGCAGACACAAAATAACACCATACAATTGCCAGATGTAGATTATCCCCAAAACGGCAGCGAAACCAGGAACTACGTTGAGAAAGATAGCTTTTCAGTCAGCTATGTGCATTTAGATCAAAATACCAGGCCTTCAGCAAAACAGGACCAGGACCTTTATTTAACTCTGCCTTTGCATATGAAGGAAAGCAGTACTGAACCTTTTAAAACTTACTCTGCAAGTCTGGGCGAGGACATTCCCGACGGTATCACTGCCAAAGCCCTTACCAAAGCAGCACAGGCATCCACACACGCTGACCACAAAGATATTAACGGAGAAATTGAGGAGGAAGATGCAGAAGTAGCAGCAGCTCTGGCTGCACTGGAAGCTGCAACTGCAGGGGAAGATCTGGAAGATGATGAGGAGTACTAGATGAAGGTTTCTTTCTAATACACTGATAGTCTTATTCTGGATCTAAGTTAATGCATGTGCTGTACACACGGACCACTGTTATGAACAGCACAAATAAAAGGAACTGGGACTCTGTCCCTTCAGCTGTTAAAATATGGCCCTTTAATTTCTACTGCTGAAGGTACAGAAGAGCTCCCTTGGCTAACGGTAATAATAAGACTCTTCTGTGTGGGGCCAACCAGGAGGGCAAAGCATCATTCATTTGCACAAGATATTCTGCTGTATGCCCACCTACCTCACCTGGGCTCACGCAAATATTTCCTGAGGGTCTGAGCCTCAGGAGGGTCTGTGCACACTGTAGGTTCCAGGTTCAAAAAGCTTCCATGGAGTTAGAAACCACAGATTTTCATTATGTTAGCACAAAACTGACACAAAGTTCTACAGTCCAATAAACAAGGCAGGCAGCTTGGCTTACATTTCACTGTGGTTACAGTTCCATCCCAGTTTAAGCCTGAATCTGTGCAGGTGCAGCTGGGGGCAGGACAATAACCTCATCTCTCCCCTGGACCTTTTCTGAACCCCCAGTGACCTGCTTCAGTTGATTAAAAAAGCAGAAGCTAGTTCAAAAAAAGTTCAAAAGCATGAGCAATTTTCTGCTGCTCTAATGAGCTGAAGTAGCTCACAGAAAAATCACACATGCACTGTCAGAGGTGCTGAGAAGTAGGTTCAAACTCAGTCCTACTGGTTTAGGTAGACTAAGACTGTTGTGAAAATGCAGCCTGAGAACTTCTCAGTTCTAAGTTTTCCAGGCACACTTCACTTGCCTTAACACTGCAGTTTGCAAACAGGTTGTGTCTCAAAAGGTCCTCAGTGAGATACATTCTGTTTATACACAACCAGTGAGAGACAGTGTGGTCCCTCTCTGACTCCACTGCAGTCCCTAAACTTAAAGCAGGAAAGGAGCTTCCTAGTTGAGTTAAGCAAAAGACTTGAAAACATTAAGCTTGTATTTTGGAGTGTTTACCCCTTTCTCTGATCTTCAGACTAGTACGTTAAACTTGTTCTTGTCAGATTTCTTGTCAGAAGCAAAGGAGATGGACACCAACTTGCTGCTGTCATATCATCAGAAGTCGGATCTTAATAGCCAAAACAGAAGTGCTTGAAATTTTATTTTGAAATGTTGTGGTTTCCGAGTCAATTATAAACTCTTAATAAAACTATTTTAAAATATGAAAGATCACCTAGTGGCTTTTGTACTTCATGCATTTTCTGATTATTTAACAGTTGCATAAAAGAAATATTATAAAATGTATCCTTTGTTAAATATACGAAAAGCACCAGCTACATATTTGCCAACAGTACATGCCAAATCCCAGTAACACAACCTTATCTAAAGATAAGAATATTAAGAGGTAGGGTTCTTAAGGAACGTGTAGATATTTAAAATATTTCCGTTTAAATGTAGATTCCCCTTTTTCTTCCAAATACTGCAAGACCAAGCAAGATTTCCATTTCTCAAAACATTAATGATATTCCTAAAGTGATTTAAAAACTGAAGTTCCAGCTTCAAGATAACTAAACAAGCTAAAGATCAAAGTTACCATATTGTACCTGTAAAATAAAAAAGCTTTACGTGTTCTAAAAACATCATAGTAGTGTTTATTCTTTCTCTAGCACCTTCTTCCCTTTTCAGTGCAAGTTGTATGTGCAACTGTTTTGTGACTTGTAAAAATGCCTTAGCAGGAAACCATGATGCGTTCTCCAAAGGGATCTGCAAAGCTGAGAAGCTGCTTTAAGTAGTAACATTCAGAAAGGCACTTCTAAGCTTTTTCATAGGTACATATACATTTTATACGCACATATGTGTGTATCAAACCTTAGTATAATATTGAACCACAGTGGGAGACTATTTGCACATTACATACTACCACTTACAGCTATGATGGGAAATAGCATATGTCTGCTTTTATATCGTGAAACTAAAGCTATATGTAAATACAGCGTCCTCACCCTGCCCAGGGCCTGGCCCCGGTCCTCAGCCCCAGCCCCACACACCCTGCTCTGTGGTGGGGCTGTGGGATGGGCCCTGGCGACGAGCACAGTCAGCATGACAGATTATGAGAAAAGAGCTAAGTCAAAAATGCTGAAGAAAGAAGTGCCACAAACACAGCAGGAAATCCATCCAGCTTTTCAAGATCTTCTTGGTTAGATTAGTTTAACCTCCAACCTAAGCTCCTGTTGCAAATCAAAGCAAATTTTGGTCTTGCTTGCTGAGAATTAATACACACTCTACGACCGCCTCCTCTTTGCAGGGGATGTTAAAAACAAACACGTTCCCTGGACATCGCAAATCAGGCAGTTCTTGTATGGTCCCTAATCCCAGGGCCCTGGGCTTAAATCCCGTGCAAGGGATCAACTGGGCCACAAACATCACATTTATTGCAAACTCAGTTCCTATCATAACAAAGGCAAAATACAATGTAAAATAAGTATATTCACTATGTAGAAAATAACTGGTCAATGCTTCTTTTCGCAGCAAAAAAAGTAAGTCAGGCATGCGCATACCTCAGATCTGCAGGATACAGAGAGCTTCCATAAATCACATGAGGTATCCCCAACATTCAGACTTTTCTTATTCTCCTCGTGCAGCTTTCCACATAGCTTTATTTCTCTTCTGTCCCACCATTTCACATCTGAAAGAGAGTGTCAAGAATTCTTAGCCATTTCTTGGATTACAGTACAGAATCTGTTTTCACTTTTAACAATGCATGTACAAGAAAATCAATTATTTCAGAAATCATTTTCAAATATTCATGCAATTTCCTCCACAAAACTAGCTTTCAACAACAGCGTGAGAATCACATCTTATTCAGCCCTCTCAGAGGTTGATGCAAAGAAATGCAAATACTTTCGGCTTCAATAATCCATTTTGCTTTTGCTAAATTGTGAAAGTAAAATTTATTATCTTGGGAAAACAGAGAAAGTCACAGAAAAAACACATTTCTGAATCAAGTGTAACCTGATTGTTTTAAGACTTCTCTTAAAAATCACAGCTTACACAGCTTGTAAGACATCCCTTCCCTTTTGCAGAGTTCAAATCTATCCCAGACCCATGACTGGGTAGTAGCTCCGCAAATCAGGCGTAGAGTTAAACCCCATGTTATGTTCCCCATATTCAGAGCACTCACTTATGAAGTGAAGCCTACAAATTTTGATACAAAAGGAATTAACATGAGTGAGCTGGTTGCCCAAAACATCTATTTTTAATGTTTCTATATTTAATGTTATTTCTATCCAGCTAAACGGAAAGAAACACATGTGGTAATAAAGAACAGATAACAGGATGGAAAACTATTATAAATGGCAGAAGTTCTAGGAAAGACTTTGTATCTTGGAAGCTCAAGTTTTACTTATTTATCCTCTGAAGCTCATGATAAAGCTTAAAAGGATATTGTTGTCTTTCAGTACATAAACAATGAAATATTGAGTAGGAGTAAAAATATTACTTACTTATTTGACAGTGGATCACCATTGGATTATTATGAAAAAATTTTCAGACCACTGCAGAGATTGCAAATATGTCTACAGTAATGGAAAACAAACAAGTAGCCCAGTCCACAAGACTCAAGGAAGTTAACTGATTTAGTTTTAAAGAGAATGTTATTGGGCAATTTGTTTACAGAGCAATAGTAGAAAATGAAGTCTGATATTGCAGAATTGTTTAGTCTAGCAAATAAAAGCATAACAAGAAGCTGGAACTTGGAAATAGATAAAATCCACATAGTCTTTTTTCTTTAAAAAAAAAAAAACAAAGGCAATCAGCCAGGCAAATGTTGCTATGGAGACTTGTCATTAAAAATACAATTTCAGTAAAGTCCATTAGTTTCTAAAAGATCCATCAGAGCTGATTGCTTCAAAGTAACCTAAAAATACCAACTTTTATCATCATTTAAATCATGAAACAAGCAATGCTGATTTTAACAACATTAATTTTGACCTTGTGTTGTATTTGTAGTTTTAATTTCCTAAATGCGATTTAGTTTTCCAAAAGATTAATCCTGGTGATTTACCACATTTTGCTAAATGAGAACAGAATATATCACCATTTATTAAGGCATGTGCATATGGTATTTTATATGTTTATTCAAATGCTTAAGTTGTGTATTTTAATTATGTTGAAATCATGAATCTTATTCGATTACTTATCTTGAATTGTGATGTCTCTCCTTGCATGTAGACGATACCGGAATCCATCGAAATTGTGCAAGATGGCACTTCAAAATTAAATGTATTAAAACTTATTTAACATGCTCAACACATAAGAAAGCAAATTTATCAAAGTCATAGTCTACATTAAAAAATAATCTATTTTTAGAGGAAGTATTACCAACAAAATTGTTTCAGATATTGTTTGCTTCTAGGTTTTAGAATGCCTTCATCTCAAAGTCTAAGAGTTTTTGCTGAAGTGGACTAAGAGCTTTTTTACTGGATTTGCCAAAAAGAATTGCCCTTAGCAAAGAATTTCTTTTCTACCATCATGAAATCAAAACTCCTCAGCTCTGTCCCTGGTCAAGCTTTCCAAATTTCACACTCTCCCATATGCAGACAAACAGCTCAGTCTGGGGACTCTTTCCACATTCGAAATTTCCCTTGGGAGTTCAGGGAGGTTTGTTTTCAAACTTTTCCTCATTTTGAGCCCTCACGTTCATTTTCTAAACTTTAAAGCAGGCAATTCTTGAACTGAACTGGCTGGATAAACTGAAAAAGTAATATTCATTCTGCAACCACAGATGAGACTACTCCCGATTCAGCACTTCAGCAAAATCTGTCCAAGGTGCTTAGTAACTTTTCCCAGTTCAAACAACGAGCTGCTGAAATTCTGAAAAGAGCTGAGCCTGCCTTCTGGTTTGCACAGAAATGTTGTGCCTTAATGTAAGCAGTCATTGTTTATAGACAATCATTGTAAGCAGTCAATACATTGTTAAATACAATTTTAATTTTGTTAACATGGTTTTATCCAACTTCATGACAGATCTCTATTATACAGCTTGTCCTCCACTTCTCTTGCGTAGTGACCGACTGTCTGAACCCCTTTCCTCACCCCTCCACCTCTTCTGCCTTCACCGTGAGGAGAGCAACGTTCCCCTACACCATTTAATTCAGCGAACTTGATTCTGTCAGTGAATCTGGAAAGATAATGGCTATCTTGATTTTGTTTTAAATCAGTTTGCTGAAATACAATTCACAACCATTACCACAAACAAAAATCTACACATTCCCTTTTCTGAATCTTGATTGCAATGACTATAGATTAAACTGCACCTAAGAGGTTTTTGCTGAACTTGGCAGCTCAAATCTATATGTTGCCAAATGGAAAATCTTTTATTCTATAGCAAAACAAAACAAGTCTTTCAGGAAATACGGCTGCCTGATATTAAACCAGGCTGCAATAAAACTGCGTCACATAAAGGCTGTGGTTTTATTTGTTTGCTCGCTGAGCTCGCTGCTGTTTACCCTGCGCAGGAGATTGGCTCAACTCTTAAAAGGGTGCAGAAGCGGTGCGGCAGCAATGCCCTCAGCTCAGCCACTCACCTCCAACTCAAGAAGGCCACAGATTTTCAGGAATGTGTGACCACATACGCTCTCCTCTGTTCTTAACGCTTGGAGCTGTACCAAGAGATAGCAGGTAAATTACCTGGGCTTACCCAAAAGGAGAGCAAGTTAAAGTGACAAAGGCAATACAGCTATGAGTGCATGGAGCAAAATGAACGTATGAATGAAGATTTAAAAACCGCGTAAGGATGTGAAGACACATGGTAGGTAGATTTGGCCAGGAATCTCCTGGAATGAATAACATAGGTTGTTTCCATCTCTTGTGTCTAAAGGTTACTTTCCAAATAAAGCTTTACTTTCTTCTAGCTCCCATTTCAGGACCTCTTTCTGCAACAAGATGATACTAAATTATCACAGGGACATTTATCAGATTATTTTCTCCATGCAATTTTCAGAAAAAAATAAGACTCATGCAAATGTCAGTATTTCCAATACAAGATATTGTAAGCTATATGAAAAGACCTGGCTGTGATCAAAGCCAGTACAAGTTTCACGCAGGATGCCCACGTCTCTCCTGAAAAAGCCATCTCCAAAACTGAGAGAACACTACAAATTTTCAAGCCAATAAATTTCAGTTTGGTAGATCAAATGAGACAGAGGTTAATCTAAAAGTATACTGTATACTTTGCCAGAACAATGCTGCTGTCTGATCTAGATTACTGTTAATTTTTAGTGATTAATCTCCTATTCATGCAGACTTGCATATGAAATACGTCTTGTTAGCAC